TCTCAAAAAAAAAAAAAAAAAAAAGTGTGAGCCACTGTGCCTGGCCCCCGTTGCTTTTTGAATTCCACTCCCGTCTTTCTAGCTCAATTCCACCTCTGAAGAACAGCCTTCAGTATTATTTCTGCAGGAGCCTTTGTACAGTGAGCCTCAATCTTAGGCTGCAGTGGCATTGGTCACATTGCTCTGAAGAGCTCATCAGGCAGAGACCTCAGCCCACAACAGCCTTCTCACACCCACGGTTTGCTGGGAGTTGGTCACCAGTTCACCACGTGTTCCTCTCAGGGAAGTCTTTTTGCTCTGGTTGCATCCATCTAAGAGGTTTACTTTTTAATATTTTGAAAATTTCCAGTGATGTATCTAGCTGTGATGTCTTTTAACTATGGACTTGGACTTCCTGCAGCGTCATGTATTTCATGAACTCTGGAAAATCCTCAGTCTTCACTCTCTCCTTTCCCGCTCTCGTCTTCTCCTGGAACCTGCACTGGGCACGGGCTGGCATCGCCGCCTCCCTGGGCCACACGTCTCTTCCAGACACTGCTTCTCTCTTCAGTTGAGTGAGTGCTGCTTCTCCTGTCTGCTGACTCTTTTAACTGCTAATGACCATGTTGTTCATTTCTAGAGGTTTTCATTCTCTTCGGTTCTTTTTCAAACAGAAATTGTCTACGCGTGGTCTTTTTCATTAATGTTTTACTTATAATTTACACATTATGGGCACCCAGTCTTGATCTAGTCTTAAGGTTGCTCCCTTTCTTTTGCATCTTTATCAATTTTAACAAACATTTGTTTTCTACTATCTTCAGGTTTTGAGAATGAAGTCTTATTTTCTCTCCCTTGAAATAAAATTTACCCCTTTTAAAAGCTAATTACCCATAAATATACACACCTACTATATGGCTACATACTTTTGTAAAAAAAAAAAAAAAAAAGCTAATCACAAAAAATCCTGTAACATCAAGTAAGGTAAATTAATCCGGCTTATTTCATTGTTTGTTTATTTTCAGATGGAGTCTTGCTCTGTCACCCAGGTTGGAGTGCAGTGGCCAATCTCTGCTCACTGCAGCCTCTGTCCCCTGAGTTCCAGCGATTCTCCGGCCTCCGCCTCCTGGGTAGCTGGGACTACAGGCACACACCACCACACCTGGTGAATTTTTGTATTTTTAGTGGAGACGGGGTTTCACCATGTTGGCCAGGCTGGTCTCAAACTCCTAACCTCAAGTGATCCACCCGCCTTGGCCTCCCAAAGTGCTGGGATTACAGGAGTGAGCCACTGTACCCAGGTTAGGCTGGTCACGGTGGCTCTCTCCTGCAATCCCAGCACTTTGGGAGGCCGAGGCGGGTGGATCACTTGAGCCCAGGAGTTTGAGACCAGCCTGGGAAACAACGGTGAAACACTGTCTCCACAAAAATTACAAAACTCGGCCAGGCATGGTAGCATGCACCTGCAGTCCCAGCTATTCAGGCGGCTGAGGTGGGAGGCCTGCTTGAGCCTGGGGGGTGAAAGCCGCAGTGAGTCAAGATTGCACTACTGCACTCCAGTTCGGGCAAAAGAGCAAG